CCTTTTGAGTTGAACCTGGCTGTCATTATCCTGGAGGAGATTGGTTCCCACTGCATGAGAGCTTTGGCTGCTGTTGGTGACATCATGATGGCTACTCCCTCGGTGTGCTCGTGATCGTCCTCTGGGTGACCGGAGTAGATTATTGTCTCTCCAGTTGGTAGTTGGCACCTTCCGCATCCGTTCCATCTGCTCTCGCAGATTCCCAACACTTCCATTTTATATCTCCTCATTTCTGCGGCTACCTGAGCAGCCTTTCCAGTTTCGTACATTGTACGAACATTCCACGTCCCCATCCTTATTTTTGCTTTCATCGAAAGAAGGCACATCGGCTGACTGGCTTCCCGAAGGCTTTCACCAGCCTGCGTCATTTCACTTCCCCGATTCCAGCGAAAAATAAGGTCATTGTTGATATTTTTAGAATTTTTAATATATTTGTGCGTTGAAGTTTCTGTAGCGATTTGGTTAAGTTTTGGGGGTGGAGTTGCTAGCACCACGCCCCAACCCTTCCTCTTTATCCGGGCTTGGGACCGGCTAGAAAACTAGTGAGCTAGTAATCTAGGCGAGGTTGAAATGAGTGAATAAGCATTCGAATTTAGTGTACATTACAGATATGTTTTTAATTTCTTCATCAAACTAAGCAGTCCTAATATTGACACTTTACTTAACTGTAAGCCTAAACCAACAGTCCCCTGAACTTCATTTTATCAGTAATAACTAACAATAGTCTCATCATCGAAATACAATTGTATTCTATTGAAAAGAACGATGTGTTTATCCTCTTAAAATTTAAATATGTATTTTATGCAGTACTTCAAGACTGTGAGGATAAACAAATTTATTGTAAAAATCATAAAATTAACATCAAAATGGAGTTTAGTTTACTCTTTCCTTTTACAATTGATACGTGACGGAGAACACCCAACTACCTTATATAACCTAATCTATTATTTATTACCTTAGGTCTAAATATAATAAAATAGAGTGTGTATATCAATAGTCCTATATAATGTATTCTTAAAGATAAGTTTATAGTACCCATACAAATATATATTTATAATGCCTATGAGTATATATACCGGTCACTAGAGTGGAATTTAGTATGAAAACAAAGGGAAATTTCTAGTTAATGTTATTTTCATTTTTTTTATATTTTATATTTTGGCTAAAAAAAGAGAAAAGTTTAATATAGTAGATTCACTCATCGGTCAATAAAGAAAGTCATGCAATTATTAAATAGACAGATCTACACCCTATTATTGTAGTATCAAACAATATGCAATTGCACAATACACAAGTAAGTGTGTATATGTGTACTTTATTTAAATTTAGGGACACATTGAATATAGAAGAAGGATTGAATGAGTGAATGAATGAAGTTAGGAAGACCTTCACCTGTTCAACTTAAAATATAGTGAAATTTTCTATTTCTAAAACTGTTCATCATTTAAAAAGACGCGTTCAAGGATTAAGTATTCAGAAATTTTTTACCAAAAAAATTGTCTTCATAAAAACTCTATTTAATTTTTCTACATTAAAAATTATTTCTTGTACATTAGAATCTCTTTTTTTTTTAAAAAAACAGTTGTAATTTATGTAAGAGAGAAAGACTTTAAATGAAAGGAGTGAATGTGATTACGAAATCAAATATTATAAATACTGATGTACAATACAGGACGATAGTATTCAAGGTATATTGGGTGGGCGTGCGTGATTAGTTTGAGGTATTAGCAGAAAACTGGGGGTGAAAATGAAAAAAGTTACCTTCTATCATTGGTTACAGGATTTCATCATGAGCTGACATTAGTTACAGAACCATTCGAAAACCTGCAGGGAGTACTGGACAGCGGTTTCGTCCTAGTTTGAGACTCTTCATCAGTACGCACCCACCGGGATTCGAACCCAGGACCTTCTGGTTACAAGGCGAGCAGCAGGTCGGGTGTAGGACAAATACTCGCCGAGACATTGGCTAGCAGTTTCGCTATATCGTGAATTGGCAGAAGTTAGAATTCATGGACTGGCCGGCCATTGGATCGTGTCCCAGTGGCTTAATGGTCTCGCCTTGTAACCAGAAGGTCCTGGGTTCGAATCCCGGTGGATGCGTACTGCTGAAGAGTCTCAAACTAGGACGAAACAGCTGTCCAGTATTGCCAGGTTTTCCAATGGTTCTCTAACCAATGTCAGCTCATGATGAAATCCTGTAACCAATCAACCAAATTCCTACAAACCAATACTTGAATTACCTTCTATGAGTTGAGCAAAGTAGAATTCAAAGATTTCAGTGCAATGCTAGGAAAATCTTCAACACAAAACTTTAATGTGAACTGACCTCATTGCAATTCTCCATGTGAATGATATAATTCTATCTCCTGTGAGAAGCTATGTCGTGATTGACTGTCTCAGTGAATAATTGCGCTAGATTCGTATTGACTTGGAATTTCAACGTTTTGTCATTTCGCTTATTCTTTATTAGTTGGTAAATTTTGACCTCTAATAATGAGACTGTTAATCACTAATTCTTTTGAATATCAAGCCTCTAGAAATTCTCCACCGGTTTTGATGTTTCTACTGTTTACAATTTCTAAAAATTTCCCAATGAATTTGGTGTCCATCGTTGTCTTCATGCAATGAAAGTGAAGGGATGTCTTTCCACAGCTAGTTTATGATCATGCATTCGGAGTTGAAGTGGCACCCACTTTGACCAATATAGTGTTTATCACAGTTCATTTTAATTTATTTTCTAGATGGTATCGATTCAGTCTTCTTTCGTTGTTAGGTCTTCTGGTCTGCACAGTATTAAATGAAGTGAGTGTATTCGTTTGTGTTAGATCTACTTCGAGTGGTTTTAGTACTCTAGCTGTTTCTAAGGATGGTTTCTTTCCGGTAGTTTGATTTGCGTTTAGATATTTCTTGATGAAATTGTAGGGATATTCAGTTTTTGAATATGTTTAGTAAATATTTCGCCTCATACAGTTATTTCCCTTGATAAACTCAAACAAACCAAGAAGAACACATTGTGCAATGATATCACTGACACAGTCTAAGACTGACAAATCTTGCTTTCATGTTAACTCCAACTGCATACACTAATTTACGTGTATGTGCATACATACATCAGACGGATAGAAAGAAGGACTTTTGACCGCGTACCTGAGCACATTCCAGGAGACTTGCATCTAAAAGGCCCAAAAGTGCTTAGTTGTGCGATTGCTTGCCACCTCTTAGACAGCAGTCATGAAGTCAATGTATTAAAATCCCATGGGATAATTCAAGTTCTAGACACCTCCAGGTTTCCTACATATCATGAGCTGACATTAGTTAGAGAACCATTGGAAAACCTAGGAGTACTGGACAGCTGTTTCGTCCTAGTTTGAGACTCTTCAGCAGTACGCACCCACCACGATTCGAACCCAGGACCTTCTGGTTACAAGGCGAGCTCGTATACCATTAAGCCACTGGGACACGATCCAATGGCCGGCCAGTCCATGAATTCTAACTTCTGCCAATTCACGACATGGCGCAACCGCTAGCCAATGTCTTCGGCGAGTATTTGTCCTCACATCCGACCTGCTGCAGCCTACTGGTCACCCTAATGGATCAGGTCCCAGTGGCTTAATGGTATACGAGCTCGCCTTGTAACCAGAAGGTCCTGGGTTCGAATCGTGGTGGGTGCGTACTGATGAAGAGTCTCAAACTAGGACGAAACAGCTGTCCAGTACTCCCTCAGGTTTTCCAATGGTTCTCTAACTAATGTCAGATCATGATGAAAATCCTGTAACCAATCAAATCCCTACAAACCAACATTTGAATATCAATGAGATGCTCACTAGCGACTTGCCCTATTCAGGTCGGGTTCTAGTGAGAAGTCGTTGCTTTTGTTGCTTTCCATTGGGTCGCTTAGTCACATGACATTGATATCCATCACTTTTATCATCAGTAACAGCAGCACTTGAATATTCTGTATATTGATGTTGGATTGTTCATGGATGTCAGCAGCTGAAAAGAACCATAGAAATATAATCACATCATTTTATCCTTCACAATATGTTCTCCTTACTTTGTTCAGGTTATTTCTCTCCTTTTCTCCTCACTAATGGAAGAGAGTATTCAGAAGAATCAGTGATTAACAGTCTCATTACTAGAAGTCAAAAATTGCCAAATAATAAATAATAAGCGAAATGACAAAACGTTGAAATTCCAAGTCAGTACGAATCTAGCGCAATTATTCACTGAGACAGTCAATCATGACATAGCTTCTCACAGGAGATAGAATTATATCATTCACATGGAGCATTGCAATGAGGTCAGTTCATATTAAAGTTTTGTGTTGAAGATGTTACCTAAAATTGCAACGAAGTCTTTGCACTTGTTTCATTTGTCTGAGTATTTGTGTTTTCACAAATATTCACGTTTTTCATCTGAACTGTCAATGTTTGCATTCGGTGAAATAGATGACTTTGCTGAACTTATTATTTTGGTTTTACATCGATTAATAAGTTCTGCTCACGTCTTTGTGTATAATATTGCTTAGGTCAGTTTCTCTGTAATATTTTTCTTCTTTTTCTAACCAATTATTGAACAAAATTATTGGTGGAATGATAACTGACCTAACAGATAATAATTAGGGAACATCGTCGAATGATTTGTTCTCACATTTTATTGATTAATTAATAACTGAGTAATGCGGTCTAATAATATGCTTACACTTATTTCTGTGCGTTGATTGGTGCTCATGCCATGACAACAGATATAAACGAAATTCTCATCTCAAAACATAAAATCACTATCCTAAATTACTGGCTAATATTATGTAACATTATTATTATTTAATTGATGAAGTGGAATACGAAATTATGTTTGGAGGTTTACTGAGAAGTTCAATAAAATCTACTGCCGTCATAATTTCGTCATTCTTTAAGCATTTAAAAAATAGACATCTACGATACCGCTTTTATCCTTTATTTGGATTAATATTCGTAATATGCATTCTGTTTTATGCTTTAATGTACATAATAAATATTGAAGAAACAGCAGGAATAATACACTCGAAGCCTTTGTTAACTCTGAAGGATTTAAAGACTAATGAAAATGCAGAAACATGTCGTACTATCTGTGAAAAAGTGCCCAGTGTTCCACAAGACAAATTAAAATATTTAAACCCAATGGGAAATCTGTGGAAAATAGTTAAATCAGGTGTTCATGGCAGTTTAGTTAACAACACTATTCTTCCACAAATAACCGGTGGATCTTGGATGTTTAAGACGGAGAAAGATGAATTAAATGAAGACTGCAATTCAGTCCCAAAGTCTGGCGTAGCTATAATATTTGTATGCAGAGACAGATGGTTACAGCTCAATATTACAATGAATTTCTTGATTCCTATCTTACAAAAACAACGTCTGTGTTATCGTATATTTGTTATCGAGCAGGCAGGAAATGGTATTTTGAACAAAGCCAGATTATTGAATGTTGGCTTCATAGAGGCAATGAAAAGATTTCACTTCGACTGTGTTGTTTTTCATGATGCTGATCTAGTTCCTCTGAATGATGGAATTCCATATGGTTGCGATTCACAGACAAAAATGTCAGTTATGCATCTAAGTGTTGGTGTTAGCGCGTGGAGTTATGTTCTACCATATAAGAGGTTGATTGGTGGTGTCCTGAAGATATCTAATGAGCATTTCTTGTCAGTAAATGGATATTCGAACAGTTATTGGGGTTGGGGAGGAGAAGATGATGATTTGGAAAAGCGACTGAAAGTTAAGAATATCAACTACGTACATATCGATAGATCTGTGGGACAATATGCTACTGTACCACACGCTAAACAACTTAGGTCGAATAAAAAGGAGCGTTACAAACTTTTGGATGGTGCAGTTAAGCGTGTATATGCAGATGGGCTGAATACATTGTGGTACAGGATTGAAAATGTGTACGAGACACAGTATTTTACGCATATTATTGCCTGCATTGGAGATCCTTTTTGATCGTTTTTGCACCGATTTCATCCATCTGATATTTTTAACTACTATTATTTTTCGGAATGGAACACAAGAAACATTTTCCACCTATAGCATGCAACCCACCTTTGTCCCTCGACAGATTTCAGAATTCACCAAAACTTTGAAGCAGGAACTAGTGTAATATATTCGTGACAACCGAGTATAACAACATCTTGTCTCACTTGTAAATTAGTTTTTATTCAGAAACTATTCAATAAAATATGTGATAAATGGTTTTCATTTATTCTGATTTTCAATTATTCGCCAAGATGGAGTGCCTGATAGCTGCGTTCATAACGAATTACTTATGGCAAATGTAAGCCCTGATGTCAGACGTAAAAAGTGAGTAGACAGGATAGGATGTCCAAAGCGAACGGCGTTTGTTTGTTGACACTGAACAGGGTGAACGTCGTGCTTGTAAAATAGAGGCAATGTTGTATCATTAAACAAAGCACATCATAAATCCGCACCATATGAATAAGTAATTTCATTATTTTATTAAATGCTTGTGAATATTTCACCAACATATAAAGGCACAAAACTGAGATAAATCTTACCATTTTCCATATTTACAATGAAAATTGAATGCCTAACTTTAGTTTAGGAGCCAAACATCAAGGACAAGAATATAGAACCACTTAGTCAGTTCTCAGGTGATGTAGGCTGGAATCGGTAATAAAATGTTACTGTCATATTAAAGGCAGACTGCATCATACATCCTATGCCATGTTGTGATATAATCATTCTGGTAAGTAGGGAGATGGATTGACCATACTCTGAGGAAACCATCAATAGACAAGCCCTCGAGTGGAACCTGAAAGGGAAGAGGCGAGTTGGTTGTCAGTGCAAGGGTGACTTGGAGGAGGTCATGTGAAGAGGAGATGAAAACGTGTGTGCAGACTTGGAACCAGGTGAAGACTCTAGCAGAGAACCGAACGCAATGGAGACGCACGGCTGAAGCCCTATGTTCCTCTAGGAATTAAAGGAAACATTTATAATAATAATTAGGGAGATAAAGGTCGGACAATTTAATAATAAGAGACCTGACAGTAGCATTTGATGATATCGCCTCCGAGCATATATCCTTTCGAGCATTTTTACCAAACAGTGACTTGAGGTCATAGAACAATAACTGGGAATGATCATCATATATGGATGAACTGAAACATTAAGTCAGTAAAATAAAAACACTGCTCTACTCAAATATGTACTGTGATCTAAATTTCTCTTGTATATAACAGAAAGTAGGGAAGAAGGGTAACAACAGGATATTTAGGTACATAAACTATAAGATTACCTAAGTTATCAGAAAATCGTTGATGCACACATGAGATAGAGGAGAAAATAACAAGTTAAGATCAATTAGTTAGATATCAGACGCTTGAGGCTTAACAAACGATTATGCAACTAAGCAAGAGTGGAAAGAAGTCAGAATTTACATTTAATAAAAGACGGTGTATTCAATAAAGTTTGAAAAACTAGTTACTAAGGTGGAGAAATATTTTTTGAACACACAAGTCAGGTTTTAACCGTTTATTACTTCTGTGAAATGCTGCTTATTAGAAATGCAAATAAAACCACTAAGTATTCGGATAAAAGTTGAATGAGAGAGGAGCTGCATCTAGTCCTATTGTTTCATGACTTTAAAAATTCAAGTCAATAAATATTACATTACAATTTTATTATTGTTGTTCCGTTAGGTCCCGATTGGAATATAGGTTTTCAGCAGCATAAATTCATTCTATCCTGTTCTCTAGAGTCCCCTTTAGCTTGCTCCACGACTGTTCATACGTTTTGATCTACTCCATGTCATACCCACATCCAACTCGTCGTTTTCCATTCGGTTTCCACTCGAGGATCTGCTTTGCATGCGATGTCACTCAACTGCTCACTGGGTTCGAGCCCCGGTGGGAACATCATCACCCACTGGGTAATGCAGGTACATCCAGCTGACGAGTCCCAAATAGGACGAAATGCGCATCATGGATTCCACTGCTAATCACCATCCACAAATTAAATTCTATTTATGTCCCAGTTCAATGTTATCTATCAAGAAGTAAGTGACAAACATTTTAGCCTAGTTTGAAAATCCAAAACAGCGTATATTTATGTCTAATTCAAAAATATTTTACCATACAGTAATTAGAGACCATAACCACTATCATTCATTCCTCCAGATATTAGTCCACATGTGTGATATACGCTACTTTCATATATCCATCAGTAGTGCATGAATTGAAGAAGTATCATTCTATCATCTGTAATTCTTATGAATAGAGGAAATCAATTTAAAAATAAGAGAGATAGCGAGTAGTTATTTAATCATCCAAGATGACCTTGCCACCAACAGAGAAAGTTCATAATGGATCGATTAGATCACTCTATTGGACGAATATGTTGTATCTATTTGTGCATGTGTGTAGATTTAACTATTGTTCAAATGAATTGTAATCATGTTAACCAAAGAGATGACTAATAACGATAATTAACAGTTATGGTAATCACACAGCTAACATCGTATAGCATCGTATATTATATAGTACTGAGCAGAGAAATAGTGCGTCATTAATACTCATCATGTAGTTGACTACAAGGACAATTAAAAATTTTATTCGAGAGAACAACTTTTTAAGAACTACTCCTATCTCTTCCATCACCAGTACCACCACCATCTTAAATCGCAAATATGAATCCCGAAACTGTAAACTAGTAAAAAAAGTCATTACTGTGGCATATAGCTAACTATACGATTGATGGAGTTGTATAAACTATGATGTCGAATGATAGATAGTATACACTCGACAAATTACAATGGGAATACATACAACTTCTCCCTAAATAAGTGACAGTCAAATGAATAAAAAGTTTTGTGAATAGAAATGCCGCACCAATATATTACAAGCTTGATAATTGATTGTAGAATGACCACTAGTGGCTAAAATGAGACAATACAATCGGGTCAGTCAATAAATACACAAAACCTATGAAACAAACATAAAGTTTTCTAGAATGAGAGACAGATAGGGCGTATCAGAGGGAATAAACAACAACAACAAGATTTATAGGAAAGTTATATGACTGGATAACAACAACTAAGGGTGAGTAGATTGTATAACAGATCAAAGAAGATTAGTAATCCCAATGTACAGTAATAATTAACAATCGTTTTATTCCAAACAGTAGTTTTGATACAATGTGGAATTTTCGACATGTTATACAATGTCGCATTTAAATTTTCTCTTCACATTCCATAGTACGGGGGGAAATAATCAGGAGGGCATTTACATTGATAATAACTTCAATAAGAAAATGAATATAAAATTGAAACTTAAGTGGAGATATTAACAAATATATACTAATGAACGAAAAAATAAAAAGGGTTGTTTACTTAGTGTTTCACAGTAAGTTAGTAGTTTTATGCCTTACACTCTTCTCATAATAGAATGAGTGCCAAATAAGGTATCGTAGAGTTGTTATACTCAGTAGTCTGAGTATAAAGTCTTTTATAATTGCTTCCAGCCCTACCTGATGAGATGTAAGAGGAGAATTATGTACATAGACATGCATTTCCTTTCAACTAATTGGTAATACTTTAAGGTATGTTCAGCAGATAGATGTAAACGTGCGCATCAAGATATCTGTTTTCAGAGATACAATTCTAAAGCTCTACACTTTCATGACAATGTGTGGTGGCCGGAAAATATCAAATTATACCTTCACCGTAAAATAGTAAAAGTAATGAATTCACAGAAAATCATAGTTGTTACGTGACACTGAACAAGGACACTACCTAGTTCCACGCGCAATACGGATGACAGTTCTTCCCTCTCCAGCTTCTTGCTTTCCACATCTGCCAACCAACTCTGCCTCGTAGCTGATCAGTACATCCACATTAGGATCCTTTGCTGCAATCTACGTTTCTCTCCGCAAGTGCCCTCCGGCCGTTGGCATCTCTTACGTGTAGTGAGCATCTGTATACCCAAGAAAAGGACTATTTCATCCCTACCATTCTGTACGTCTATATTTGAGTATTTTGGGACAATTACAACTTTTCAAATAACTGCATTTTATGCGTATATAAATTTATGTGAACTGAATACCCTTCTACATACATACATGTTTGTATTTGTTATGTCCTTTTTATTTTGCGTATAAACGAACTTAGCCGTTTAGTCCACTACAAATGAGACAAATGTTTTGCAAAGATGAGTCACTAAAATCTTAAGATTTTGATGACAGTTACATAATGCAAAAACATAATAGTAGAACATAGAATTTTATTCCTTTGCGTTCCCAGTGGAACATAGGGCTTCAAGCTAGTGCTTTGAAGTTTCGGTAGCAATGGTGATTATTTTTAAAGGATTCAGTTGCTAGCCTCATGCCCAACCTTCCCTCTTTACCAGTCTTACTACTGGCTTAGTGAGGTAAAGGAGTGCCTTGGTGGCCGGGGATTGAACCCCGGACCACCTGCATGGTCAGCGAGCACTCTACCGCTGTGCCACTGACGCACTATAAAGTAAAATCAAATATTTAAATTGAATGACGTACCATAATTGATAGGAATGAGCAGAGGTTAAATAAAACTGAAAGTTAAGATCAGCGTCATAAAAAGTAGAAATATAGTAGTGGGAGATAAGAAAAATAATAAATTTTTTAAAAATATTAGGATTAAGTGAATTTATATATCAGGAGTTGAGATAAATTAAGTCCATTGTACGTTCAGTGATTGAACAAACTTCTGCATAAATGGTTTAGGATTTAGTATGTGGATTGTCATAGGTTCTGCGGTCTGAAGAAATTTAATCCGTACTCCTTTAGCAAGATTTCTGTGTACTTTGTAGATGACTTTGACGCTTACCTCCAGAGTGAAAAGAATATGTTCACCTGATAAATTAGATAGTGAACTAAGGCTGTTTGAGAATTGCTTGAAAGAAAATGGTTATCCACAAAGTTTCACTGACAAATATGGTAAGAATGAATGTAAG